ATTTTTCTATGTTTAATTTTTATATTTAAATTGATGTGTTATTTTTTAAATTAATGCTCAATTTGTTTTATCTAATTCTCTTCGATAGTCATTTTCTGTCGATTATAAGTATAATTGACAGTCAAAGTAGCTGTCGATTATGTTTTGATTTTTTTTATCTTTTTTTTTTAATTTTTATATTTAAATTGATGTATTATTTCTTTAAATTAATTGTTAGTTTGATTTATCTAATTCTCTTCTTTTTTTTTCTTTTTTTTTGGTTTTTTCCCTTTATTTTTTTTTATTGATTCTCTTATAAAATTTTTGGTTTTAAGGTTAGTAAGAATCAAATTTTTTTTTTTTTTGAGGTTATAATTAATTATTGAAATTATAGGTTTGATAAAAAGAATGATGTGCTATTTCTTTAGAAAATATTATATTGTATTTTTGTTTTCGTTTTACTATAAGATTATGTTATATTTTTTTGTTAATATTATATATTTTGTTAATATAAACTCTAATACTTTATAACTAAAACTAATTTAAATTATGAAATATATACTAACTTCTCATCCTATAAAATATATGTATATTATACAGATGAAGCAGGCCATAATCGACAGCATTTCTAACGATTATGTCATATACATAATCAACAGTCATTTTTCTATCGATTATACTAGTATAATTGACAGAAAAACTGTCGATTATGGCCTATATATAATCGACATAAAGACTATCGATTATATAAATTGTCGATTATATTTGTTAAAATCACACATAATCGACAAATAATTATAATCGACAAAAAAAGATATCGATTATAGTAGTATAATTGACAGAAACATGACTATCAATTATAAATTTGTCGGTTATACTATGTTTTCTAGTAGTGGTTCATTTTGTCAATTACCATGGCCATAATGATAATATTGCCCTAGTGCTTAGGTAAATATGTGAAAATTGTTATGTGGGATTCAATGTAAGATTTACATTCAACCTCAAATCAATTGACTATAGGTGAAATCACTCTTTTTATACTTAACGCATATACATTTTTATTATACATTCGATGTGAGATTTTCATATTCAACAAAATACTCTGAGGAATTTTATCATACAGTTTGTGTGCAGTGTGGACCAAGTAATTGGAAAAACATGAGTTTAGGGTGAAAGAAATAAAATCAGTTATTATGTAAGTAAAACAAGAAATAAGAACGAAATTATATAATGAAAAGAAAGGCAGCAACTAAAAAAACAAGTTACCGAAAAATAAGGAGTTGGGGAAAAAGAAGTACCTTTTATTGGCAATATATCAACCATGAGCCTCTTGTGTCATTCTAAGAGCACTATCAAAGGGGTGACCTCTTGTTTTTCCATTGCCAAAGGAAATTAGTGCTTTTTGGTTTTTTTAGCGATTCCAATATACTACATATTGGTTGGTGCCAGGCTAGGACTTTTGCTTGGAGGGAATGGAAAATTCCAGGGATACAGTGGCTGTCTAGCTGGTGCTAGTTCCCCAATATTAGTGCAGATGAGTTGGTTAAGTGGTAATGCCTAACGGTCTGTAAAGGCCATCCTTGGTTTGTGTTTGTTGGGTATTGGATTACCAACTATTGGGCTTCTCCATTTTCATTTGCGTTCACGTTTGCTGATATTCCGTTTAATAAATAGGAATAGAAAAAATCAAGAGATGTATTAATAATTAAAATATTAAAAAAAATTAAAAAATTAAATTATTTTTAATAAATTAACATATAAATAAAATAATTGAGGTGTTTAAATAATTTTAGTGTCAATATATCTTAATTTTTTTTAATAAATAAATATTACCGTAGTTTTTTAATTTTTCCTGATAAAAAGTTGTCAGTTTTAAATTTTAAGATGGTGGTGGGTAAACAGTCCGAGAGGAGGTAATGACGCCAGCGCCAAAATAAGGGTTAATCTGCTATAATTGAAAAGCAAAGGGACTCCTTTTCCACAAATTTATTATAGACTGATATAACACGCACAAACATGGAAGTACAGGGGCTAATTTACACTTTCTGCTTAAAAAAAATGAAAAGATATATATATATTATTTTATTTTTTTCATTTTATCATCATCATTATTATTATTATTAGGAAAAATTATATATTAGTTTCGACTCTTAAAATAAATTAGAGTTTTAACCTTAAATTACATTATTTTATTTAATTAAAATTTAATTCAAAATTTAAAAATTTATCTTATTAAATGTTGACATTTAGATTTGAAAACCGATTTTACTAAAATATATAATTGGTTTTTAAATCTAAATATCAATATTTAATAGAATGAGATTTCAAATGTAAATTAAGACTATAATTTTTTAAAAAATCGAGATTGATACACACTAATATATTATTATTATTATTATTTTTACAAATTATGATGAGCAAGATGAAACAGCCCTCCTTTCTTCCCAAATCTCTCCTCATCTAATTAAAAGTTTGAATTTGAGAGTTTTAAACTAAAATTTTAAATTAGTGAGAGAAGATTTTATTATATTTTATCCATACATTACAAGCACAGAAAATATGTGATATTTCCACCCCAGACATTATACATAAATTGACATACAAAGCTTGACTACCAAGCTGCAAAGCATTCATATATACTACTCTTATCTTAGACACCACAATAAGTCTTAAGTGCAGATTCAGCTCTCTGTCCAGCCTCCCTATAGTAAAACCCCATGAATTCAATATGGTCAAAGGGCTTAAACAGCAAAGGATGTTCTTCGTCCACCATCTCCTCCGGAGCCTTTATTACGTATCCCGCTTTGGGGATCGAAAACAATCCGGTAGAGTACCTGGCCTTGTCTCCAGCCATCATCACTCGGTGATAGGGAGAGTACAATCGACCATTTAACCATGCCTACAAAATCACATTATTATTTCATTGCAATAGATTTTATGTATACTACTATATTATATCTAGAAAATAATTGATATATATTAGTTCAACACACTTTCTAATATTCATCCAATTTAATTATTAAAATATAATATATGTATAATTTAATTTAGTTAGTTCTTGTATCTATACACATAATTGTATTTTTATATTTGTCTGTCTAAAATTTCAAACTATAAAACAATAATTTTTTAATAAGTATATTATGCAATATATTAAATCAGATTATATCTTGATATAATTAAATCATAAAGTCAAGGATTTAAGAGAGGAATAATTACATAGAGAGAATCTCCCATCATGGCGATGAAAGAATCCGGTGAGGGCTTCACGTTGATCCATTCTCCGGTTTTGGTCTTTACTTCCAATCCATCGACCTCATTTTGGTACAATATGGTAACTATGTTCTTGTCAGTGCGAGCGTTTAGTCCGAGCTTCGCCTCAGTGGTCTGCGGCCCATTATATTTCATGACCCTAAGAAGCTAATTGGTGGAGGACATGTGCTCTTCCATGTATTTCTCAAGACCAAAACTCTCCAAAATCATCCTTCTAGTTATCTGATCCAATTCCCCTACTTGCTCCGAGGAAGATTGAATAGTGTTGCTGCCAAATTAAAATAGACTTCTTAAATTAATAATTAATTATAATTATAATAAGATATACCATTTAATTGCTACTCCACAAACTTTGAAACTTTAATCTGAAAATTAAATTCAAAGATTTAAACTTATGCAGTGACTAAATTTATATAGTATTTTTGACAAATTTAAAGAAAAAAACGTAGAAGTTACCAACCTAAAACTTGCATTTCCTTCGGGCCACAAGATCTTGGTCAATTCTTCAACTTTTTCAATGACATTGGCATCATCAATGCCCATGCTTTCGTACAAGGGAACTTGAAGGTATTGCCCAACATAGCCATGGAAGGGCTTCTCGCAAACGTTGCGCAACTTGGTCTGCAAAGGGAGGTTGAAAAGCTCTTCTAGTGATCGGAACATCGCCTTTCGTAGCTCTAAAGGAACTTTGTCAAATAAAGCCTCGAAGCAACCGTACTCTTCAAGTGCTTGCAGAACTTAGCTCTTCACTGAATTCCACTCGGGGGTTCCAGGCTTTAGGTCTTGCTTGGAGAAATCTATGACTGGCAGTCTAAGAGTGCTTTCAGATCCCATTTCTTCTTCAGAAGGTAAACAGCAATTAAATAAGCTAGCTCTTTGTTATGCTTAATTAGTTACTGGAATGATATATATAATGGATGCATGTTTAAATTATTAGGGACAAATTAATGATTACGATCGTGAAATGATTAATGATTTTGTCCTCAGGATATATTATTGTCCTTTAATTTATAGGCGTAAAAGGAATATCCAACCAACGGGAGCTCACAAATAAGTTTCAAAATATATGGTTTAAATTTAAACACTAGCTTCAAAGACTAGGCTATCCTAATTATGTATTTTTATATAATATTTATCTTATTCTCATCATATATCTTTGATGTGAAATTTACATATTTAAACCTCAAACAACTAATCTCCCTTATTCACTTTATAGTGTCAAAATTAACCATCTTGACACCTAGAGACAATTGAGGCTTAATCATTCATTCTCTATTACTCAAAGTTTGATCTATCAACTTTAATAACGTTTGTTGAAAAGATCAAATCAGTAAGAGTCTACGAATATAGTTCAATACGTATACTTTAAATTTTATATTAAA